GTCTGGACTGTATTAACCCCTCTCTCTCAGTGCAGTGTTAATGTCCTGTAGTGTCCAGTCAGTGTGTCTGGACTGTATTAACCCCTCTCTCTCAATGCAGTGTTAATATACTGTAGTGTCCAGTCAGTGTGTCCTAGGATAAATTATGGGGGATTAAGTTTTGGATGTTCAAATCTTTCATTTTAATTTCTAAACCTTAGTCTCAGCAGGGCTACAGACACCCTGGTTGTGGGTGTGAGACAGCTCAACACAGGCTAGACTGCTTGCAACAGACTTTTTTTTTCTACTCTTCTTGCTTCCTCTTTGGTTTCCTGTTTGCGTTCTTTATCTCTCCCGCAGAATCAGCAGCTGTATTGACCAGTGTGGCTTTAATATTTATGAACTGAACTGTGTGTCCCATCTAAAACTTACTGGAATTCATTTGCTGCTTCTCCAGTTTTTGCTAATCCTACTGATTTGGTATCACCTGCAAACCTGACTGGTTTACTAACAATATCAGCATCCATATCATTGATACAAATTAAAAAGAGCACTGGTCCCTGTGCAGACACCTGTGGTTCTCCACTAATTACATTACTGATATAATTAAAAACAGCACTGGTCCCAGTACAGACCCCCATGGTTCTCCACTAATTACATTACTGATATAATTAAGAACAGCAGTGGTTCCAGTACATACCCCTGTGGTACTCCGCTAATTACATCATTGATATAATTAAGAAGACCAGCGGTTCCAGTGCAGACCCCTCTGGTACCCACTAATTGCATCACCCCAATTTGAGCTTTCCCTCCTTACCTGTACTTTGCTTTTTCTCTGGTAAACATGTTTGGGTAATAAAAATAAATTCAAGCTATTTTCATTTACATAAAAATAGTTTTACTCATTATCCACAACACTCGTCTTATGTGCAAAACTTTTAATAGAAAACTATTTAAACTGGCCACAAAATTCTATAACCAGCGCAAACTGGAAGTGCTGAATTCAGTCATATTAGTTTATATTGTAAATGAAATGAATTGTATCAGAACAGTAATAACTGTGCACAATACATTTTAATAATTCATACAAAATAAGAAAAAGGTTGATTCGTTAATTGGTTTGTCAAACACAAAATCATAGGCTCCAAAACACAGTAAACTGTACTTGAGTCGTGTTTTCAAGCAAATCAATCCAAGGATCTCTTCGAATGCAGGTAATGCACAAATACCACAAATCAACATGTATATAGTGTAAACACACGGATCAAACAGACAGTAAGCTGTCAACCATCTTGCTGTTCTTCTGCATGTGGCCACAATGTTCACGTCAACATCATATCCCATGTCTTTGTTTGCAAGGCAGCCTGGGAAGGGTGTCCTTCCCAGCAGCCCTGGGACTGTTGTGCTGCGTTGTCTTCACATGCTTCGTCTGTGGTTTGGATGAGGGTGACCTGCGCATAAGGGTGGTCACAAACGTGCACCGTGGGTGTGCAGAAGGGAACTGGTGCAGTACTAGTGCAGGATGGATGTGCACACTGTTCCAGTCCACACCATCCATACTAAGGCTGAGCAAGGCGAGTGTGTGACACGTCCAGGAATTTAACCCATGGCCTGTTTTGTGTGTCCCTCAGACTCTCAGGCTACAGTATTCTCAGACGGTGCACCTCCTCGCTGTCCCTGAACATCTACTGCAGCTCTCTGCTTGGTCAGGCTGAAGCCACCTTCATCTGCGTAGAAGCGCTCCTGGATTTCAGCACCTGTGTCCAAATCCGTCACTCAGCACGACAGGAAGCAGTCGTGCTCATTTCAAGGACCAGTGTGACAGTCACACATCTGTACTGTTACTCTACTTACAGCAGTCTAACAGCATTTGACTGCTGGATATGTCACACATCAACATTATTTTACCTTCTGTGTCTTCACTAGTTCCTCATTTCAGTGTGCATGTGCATGTCAGTGCACATTGTCGTGGAATTTTATCAAAGGGGAGCCCGGAGAGGTATTCTCATTCACTCAGAAAGGTCTTTATTCATATTGCAATATGGGAAAAAGACATCACTGGTCTGTGCAGGGAAGTGAAGGCTGATTCAAAAGCAAGCAGGGAGAGCCCCTTGTTTTCTATCTTTTTTAAGCTCATGCAACACTTCAAGGACAGGCGAAGCAGTAATTTTCCATTCCTTATGGGTTTCTGCTTTAAGCAAAGAAAAGAGTAGTTATTCAAATAGTTTCTCGTACTCCCTTTTTCAAGCAGCAGAGATAAACATTATTAAAACATCCCGTGCCCTTGACGAGCTGGGTGCTATCACACTTTGTTCTAAGAATCCAGCTGCTTCTGCAACACAGCTCTGCCCGTAAAGAACATTTTTAAGGATAAAACACCATTTTCTCAGTAACTTTCCATTACAGCATGTATTTGTGTGCACCTGTGTTTGTGTGTGTGTGCTTAGCAATGCACATGTACAGTATGTGTTTGCACCTTGTGTGTACATCTGTGTGCTCGTCAGTGCACTGTATGCGTGTGTGTACCTGTGTATGTTTGTGTGCTCGTCAGTGCACATGCATGTTTGTGTGCACTTGTGTGTGCGTGTGTATGTGTGTGAATGAGTGCACATGGAAGAACTTGCTGTGAGAGTGACTGTGGCGAGAAGCGCTGCAGAGGGAAACAGACTGTCGGGTCCTGCACGGGCGCATGCTATTATCTCGGGAGCGCGAATGTCCCTGTGGACTCGGGCAGCTGGCGGTCGTACCTCTGATCGTGCCCAGGAGATACTTGGGGGAAACGTCTGTCCCATCACTGCCACGTCTTCCTGAGCCACCCACAGACAGCGATCGAGACAGGCCGCAGAGCGCAGCCGGTCCTCCGGTCTCTTACTGTGGGCTGCCATCCTGTGGGCAGGTTTGTTACCACATGCTACAGACTCAACAGACACATTTGAATCCGTTTTATCGTGTGAAAGTACTAACCAGCTTGCCTCCACTTAGCCACCAGCCTGAGCAGCACACCTAAAGTGAACGCAGTTTAACTGAAACTCTGATGCAAGATACCGGATATGCACGCACAGCTCTTATGTTAGATCTTAAAATGATCGTTTTTTATTTCTCACTCACTATTAATAGATGATGACAATACGAGTGCAGAAGTGTTGTCCTCTCTGAGCCCTGCAGAGATTGCGTCTGCTTCGTGAAACCTTGCCTTCTTGCTGCTGTCTGCTCGTGTTGTCTGGATCAGGATAAGCCACAGGGTCTTGCTCATGGCTCTGGACGGGCCCCGCGTTTCAGCTGATCTTACTGGCCCTGGTCAGCGTCTGGATGCTGGTTTCCCCGAGATCCGGCAGCGGTATCCGGGAGTGCAGGAAGACTCTGGCCATGCCGGTGCTGGAGGTCCTGCCAGGCGGCGGCTGGGCCAACCTGCGCAACCTGGACATGGGGCGGGTGATGGACGTCAGCTACGCCCTGTGCCAGACCACCGAGGACGGCGCCTACCTCATCCCGGACGACGTGTTCGTGGTGCCGCAGAAAGTCAGCAACGTGGAGACGCACTCGGAGCTCATCGAGAGCTGGCTGCAGCAGAGCAGCTCGGTGGCCCGCTCTATCAACGCCGACGTGTCGTTCCTGGGCGTGCTGAACGGCAAGTTCTCCGCCGAGAGCCAGAGGATGAAGACGCACCAGGTGCGCGAGAGCTCTGTCACCGCCCGCGTGCAGGTGAGAGGCCGGGGAGGGGCGGAGGAAGTCACGAGACAGCTGTTTTACAAAGGGTCTCCCAAGAGGTGATAGACAGATGCCATCGTTCACTCCTACATTTGGCTCTAAAGCAGAAGCATTTCTGAGTGACTGCGTATCTGCTCACAGCAGGGACATGAAACAGCCACAAAAACTACAACAGGGGCTTTGTACCTCATAAGTTTAAGGTTTTTTACAGAGAGTTCTGTTCCTGTGCTTTTCCTCTTGCGCTTGACTTTCAAAAGTAAAGAAAATGTGCTTTGTTTAAAAATACAGAATACACAGCTGGACTCTGTTTGATGTGTTTTTCTTTTATTTAATGGGCTTCTGGAAATCTCTGTGTTTAGATCTGTTTCTCATAATTCTTTCTGTGCTTGTGTGTATCATTGGATGTCCTTGGTCCGTGCCTGTGTGTGTCCTGTGTGTGTGCGTCTTCCTGCGTCCTGTGTTTGTCTGTGCATGTTAACCTTCTTATCTGTGTTTGCACACCCTGTGTATGTTTAGGTTATTGTCAATGTGTTTGTGTTTCCGTGCAGGTCCCATATGTCTGTGTATGTCCTGTCCTGTGAGTGTTTTGTGTGTCTGTGTGTGTCCTGTTCTGTGAGTGTTTTGTGTGTGTCTGTGCATGTCCTGTGCTGTCATTGAGAGATGCCATTCTCCTCCTAACTCAGCCTGCGTTTTCTTACTGTGAAGATTTCCTAGGACTCCACTTGAAATCACCTGGATGA